ATGCCAAATTATCACAGGAGGGGAAAAATGCTTTTATTTTATTTTTGAAAAAGGAAAAAAATAAATTGCTTTTGAACATACTTCAATGGCTCTGAAGACCAGTAAGTAAGCCAAGGGACATTCTCAGGTCCCAAAAGGTTTTTTCCTGACCAATCTCTTCTTAATCTCAGTCTAAAGCAGAAATAAATGTTATTACAGATTCTGATATATATTCCTGGCCCATGAGTCTGTGATCTTGGCACATACTACAATTTCAACTCAACATAATTAAGTAAAATAGAGCACTTCTTTCTACATGCTCTTAATGTTGAAATCCTGTAACAAACTATATTCAGGTAAAGTAACCCAATATGAAAGCCAGTTATTTACCATGTTTAATTTATTGACTGTTGCTTGTCATTGAACAAGATATTTACATTTCTTAAATGTCTTCAATAAACTGGCTAAACAGGCTTCCAAAAGCAATTAATTCCACAGAAAAGATCCTGCTACCACAGCCACTTATTTTTTTGAGATTAAATTTTTCAAGGACAGCAAGTTTTTACAATAGCAGAAATATAGAAAAAGAACAGTCCCTAAACTGGAGAAGATGAAGATCTGAAAAAGAAAACAAAATTCTTCATGCCTTTTTCCTGTCAACATTATGGCCCGCCAGTCATTGATCGTGAGATTTCCAAGCCTCTCTCATACAGACTAAGACCAGCACAAAAGTTTTCATTTATTATTTGGCAGTGGCTAAGCCCGCAAAGGGACTTGCAGAGAGACTCATTAGAAAGGCCCGTGTCTGCTTGGGTTAAAAAAAGTAAGTGTTACAGTTACTAATCTTTGGTGATGACAGAGCACAGTCTAGAAGCAGATGCTATTCAAAAGGCTATTGTTTTCTTCTTCCATACCGAGATTTAGCAAGTTGTTTTTATATTGTTTTAAGAACTACCTGCTATTGCCAGTATGAAAAAGACCATGCCTAAGTCATTTTTTTTTCAGCCTAGCAGATCACTGCAGAAAGAATAATATTTGATGTCTTGGATAAATGCTTGCAAGCAATTGAGACAGGTTATTGAAACAGATTGAGGACTGAAAGGCAGTATCAGACCTGCTGAATGTCTGATTTAGGGTTCTAGAAAAATCAAAAGATAGTTCAGAAGTTTAGAACATCATGGTTTGTTCAAAAGTAGAAGTAGAAGCTTCTGTTCTCCACCCATGTTTATTTGTTTTATTCAAGAGTTCATGAGACACCAGAGAGAGGGGTATGCATGTTGACATTTTGGTACAATGTCACCAGCCTTGAAGGAGATAGTAAAATGCCATTACTGAAATGGCTCTTCCTGAACCCAGAACATTATACTAACCACACCAAAGTAATCAATAAATACTTTTATATTGTGGATATATCTACAAGCAAGCACAAGGTACTCTGAAGGGATCACCCATATCAGTCCTCATAGAAGAAGCAGTCATGTAATGACTCGAATCCATAGCTCTACCCACTATCCAACCAAAATTCTGGACATGCTACATTGATCACACCTTCGTCATCATCAAACGCTCCCAAATTAAAGAAACATGCCACCTACTCAATAACATATTCCCTGGGATCAAATTCACACAAAGAGGAAACAGACAACAGACTCCCATTCCTCGAAATCAACATAAGGAGACTAGACAACTGAGAATTGGAAACCCACATCTACTGCAAGCCCACACACATGGACCAAATCCTCAGCTTCACAAGCAACCACCCACCATATCCAAAAGAAGCTGTGTCCAGACCTTCTTCATAAAAGCCAGGACACACTGCAGCACCACAACATTAAGAAAAGTGGAAGAGAAACGGCTGTTTGATGTCTTTTTCCATAACAGCTATCCAAAAAACTTCATATTCTGACACATAACACCCAAACCACAATACACCACACAGCCAATAATCACACAAAAACTAAAGGGGTGTCGGAAATGACAGCCAGAATTCTCCAATCCCTAGGAATAGAAATAGTCCATAAACCCACAGCTACACTGTACCAGGAATTATCCAGAACCTAAGACAAGATATAGAAGGATGAAAAAAACAATGTAATATACAAAATCAACTGTAACCATTGCAACCAATTCTACATTGGACAAACATCCCATCAATTAAAAACCAGGATCCACAAATACCAGCTGGCAGTCAAATGCCATGATCCCAAATCCTTAATCTCTACTCACACAAACATCAAAGAGCACCAATTCGATTGGAGCAAATACAATAATCATTGGCCACGCTACCACCCACCATGCTTGTGAGTTCATCGAAACCTGACACTCCACAAGCAATTGCATCAACAGACACATCGACCTACAACCAGCCTATAAACCCCTCAGAATCCAACTGCACAGCCAACCAGAGACAGCACTGACCCTCAACCAACCCATGCAAGCCCCCCATAAGCAGTTCACCTCCCAGTGACCCTGACCTAATGTAACCTCCCATCACAAGACCCATCACAAGACCCTCACTTGATACATCCACACCTGAAGTCCATATAAATAGAACACTGACATGTTCAGAAACCAACAATATTCAGAAACCAACCCACAAGCTCGGAGAACAAACCTTCACCGTCACATTATATTAATTACTGCCCAGTGACATATATCTTTGGAGGGATATGGTTCTTGAGAAGATGGATATCTATGTATTTTGGGATGATATTGGAGCATACAAATTATCTTTACTTTTTCAGTCTGAGTTCAGACTTGATTTTAAACAGAATCAATTCTGGATGCCTTATGGATCATGTTCTCTGGAGAGACAAAAGTGTAATATTCAGCGTATAGTACTTGCTTTGATGGTTTTGGAATGCTTTCCTATTGTATGCATGATGTAGCATTCTCATATGCTCTCTACTTGACTTTATGATTATTTCCACCGGTGAAAGAGTTCCACCAGGATAGGTAGTTACACGGCCCCTACTTATTCTTGATTAGGGAAAATGCATCTTTTAAAAACCTACCTACAGTAGATCAGCAGTTTTCAGACTGTTGGCTGAGAAATTCTAGGAATTGAAGTCCTCACCTCTTAAAGTTGCCAAGTTTGAAAAACACTGATCTAGACTGTAATATATTTAGCCGAGAGTCCATCACAATCTATATACAATCTGGACTGTGGGTTTATAGTCCATCTGAAGGACTGGATGAAAGAAAAGGACGAGGGGTGACATGATAGCTGTGTTCCAATATCTCAGGGGCTGCCACAAAGAAGAGGGAGTCAAGCTATTTTCCAAAGCACCTGAAGGCAGGACAAGAAGCAGGACAAGAAACTAATCAAGGAGAGAAGCAACCTAGAACTAAGGAGAAATTTCCTGACAGTTAGAATAATTAATCAGTAGGAACAACCTGCCTCCAGAAGTTGTGAATTCTCCATCACTGGAAGGTTTTAAGAAGAGATGGGACAACCATTTGTCTGAAATGGTATAAGGCAGGGGTCCCCAACCTTTCTTGGTTGGCAGCCTGGTGCAGGTGGGGTGGAGATGCTTTTACATACGTGTGCATATGTGCATAGATGGAGCTGCAAGAGCATGCACAAATGGGGCCACAAGTGCTCAAGTGATACTAGCGCCCACAGGCCGCTGCAATGCTAGTGCAAGTGGGGAGTGTGCACTTGTATGATGCTCACTGTATTGCTAGCATCTCCGGGCCGCCGCAACACTAGTGCAAGTGGGAGGGTGCCAGCCACTCAGGCAGCCCAGTGCCCAACAGCCTATGGCCTGGTAATGGGCTGTGGCTGGGGACCTCTGGTATAAGTTCCGTGCCTGAGTAGGGGGTTGGACTAGAAGACCTCCAAAGTCCCTTCCAACTCTGTCATTTTATACTATTGTCTTGTCTGTTTGATCAAAATCTCAATTAGTGTAATAAAGAAAGAGGTAAAACATTAGTAGCAAATGCCTGTCCAGCCTAGTCCTAAATACTTTCAGTAAAGAAATCTCTTATTCTCTAGTAAGAGTGTAGGAAATAGTTTTCCTCCAGGGGTTGCAATTTCATTTCATTCTTAAATGTGTTTTGGCTTCTGATGTTCACTACTGATAATGGAATGATATTACTAGACTGTGTGGGGGTGAGATTTTAGGTCCTTTTTTCTTGATTTTGGAACCAATTCATTTTTTTTGTCTTACACAAAACAGATATTTTATTACTCTAGAGACTGAGCACAGCTATTTTAAGCTTCAATCTATGAAAATAGAAAAAAAGCAGAAAGAGGGGATCATGCTGCAAATCTTGGCAGTGTATTTTTGGGGGGCAGGAGCTTTAGAGACTGCAAAAAATTGGAGCCTGAAGATTACTTCCCTCCTGCTCCAGATAATTGGTCTTACTTTGGAACTTTTCTCCTTATGATATGATAAGGCTGTTTCCAGTCATGAGAAATAATGTCCTAATAATTCAAAAAAGTTGTTAATTGCCTTGAAGCATCTGTTACTACTCTTGAAACAATAGGGAAACTTACCTCTAAATTAAGCATAAATTTCAAGGAAACGTTTCTTATTTTTCTTTTTTTAAATGTGACATCAATTTACCTCATGTGATGTCAGTAAAATGGCATATTATCACAATCTTTCTCACAAGGAAAATACGAAAGATGGTTTCATGCTCTTACATATGCCCACTTTCTTAATTTCTTAGCATTACTGCAAGAAGTATTTGTAATACATAAAAGTCATCATTCAGTAATAATTAATAAAACTGCACCTGTTTCACATTAATAAAGAAATACTGTAAACCCTTTAGCCCCAGTCACATAAATCTTTGCACATCATATAGTTTAATACACCAGAAGCATCTCAGTTGATTAAAAAATATTCTAATTGCAATGAACAACCCAGTATGGGTTCTTTATCTGTGGCCAGCAACTTAGATATCCAGTTCAAAATGAGAAAAAGGTACAGATGTGAAATGAATGAAATGCAGTGCAACCACATTTTTAAGGAGTAAAATCACAAAATTATAATATATGGTGGTCTTCTTACCCTTCTGTCCGGAATATGATTTTAAAACTGTCTCCAACGTTCTTGTACCCAGAGGGATCAGATTTTCCTCTTTGAATTTGGAACCTATGAAAGTAGTGAATGAAAACTTAGAAACTATAAAAGGGTTTAGAAATATACATTTTACGAATGTTGTAAGAGTTTTCTGAATGTTATGTTCATATTTTATCTCTTTCTTCTCTCTCTAATGTTAAATTATACATTGTTTCAGGTAATTCTTAAGGATGTAAAAGAGATCTGCCATGAATTTCTTTCAAGTGAAAAAACATAATCTACCAACACAGGCTCCATTACAGCATAAACAGGAACAGACTTTATAGAACACATAAATGTCTGCCTTTAATATTTTCTGAAGTATTTCCTAAATACTTTCTTAAAGTATTTCCTTAGAATATTTATATACGGGCAGCAACAAATCAACAAACCCTGATATGGAAGGACATATCTAAAAAAACCCTGAACATAACATTATCTATGGGGAACAGTGGTATACAAATGCATATGGCATGTAAATTATACTAAATACATATTATTTTGACCAGAGTACCCAATTAGTCCGTGCAAACCTATATCCCAATTCAACAGGAAGTTTCAAAGATCACTTTACAAGTTGTAAAGAACAGTATACTATGTTCACAGAATTAAACCGAAATACAGCTTAAATTTTCTATTGCATCATAGTCTTACAATATTTAAACATCTCTTATGTTGGCTCTTTCAAGTTTGTACAGCAAATACAATAACTTTAGATTTTGCATGACATAGATGTCTTAGGGCAGTGATCTTTTCCTGTATTCCAGTTTTACTAGGACATAAAATCACAGTTCAACACTTCCAATATGCAATCCTTTTACTAGCTCTAAATCAAGATGGTCTGTATTCATTCCTCCTCCCTTTAATTCTACTATAAATTTTGATATGTTATATTGCTTCAGTGCAATGATATTTGAGCAGTATTAATTAATTAACATTCTATTGTTTATATGATTTAGAATATTGAAAGTAAAACTACAAACAAATATATTGTTTATATACTAATTACAATTAGAATTATCCATTAATTATAGTTTATGATATCAATATTATGAGCAATGTGATATAAATTTAGAGCGGTGAGAATAAATGTTGCTCAATACTGGAAGAAAATATCTAGCTGAGAACTTAGACTTGGAGAATATGAACCAATGATAAAGCTAACAGTAAATAATAAAAGTTTAATCAAATATATCACATAGCAAGGCAAATATAATCACTTATAGTTCAGCTTCTAAGTAGGCTTAAATGTCTTCTATAGGGAAAAATAGTAAATAGGAATATCTTTTAAATTGGTATTCCATTTAAATTATTATTTTGTGTTTTAATGTTTGATAAATTTATTTTGCTGATCTATTTTTTCCTATATATACATAGGAAAACATTTATTCAGTCACGTCCAATAGTCAGAAACTGGTGGACAAGTTTTCTTGGGGAGGTTTTTCAGAGATGGTTTGCCATTACCTCTTCTTAGGGTTAAGATAAAGTGATTAGCTAATGTCACCCAGTTGGCTTTGTGCCTAAAGCAGGACTAGAATTCCCACTCTCCCCATTTCTAGCTTCATGCCTTAACTACTACATCAAAGTGGCATGTGTGGGCCCATACACAGACAGACAGACACACACACACACACACACACACACACACACACTTATAAAGATTAATTATACAATAGAGACTTTAATGCTTAGCAATCATCTCAAAATTAAAATGGTGAGATTTCTTTCTTTCCAACATTATATTCAATTTTCTATATTTTTTTGGTAACCTAGGCTGAATATTCAAAATGAACAGCAGTTTTTTTAAAAAAAACAACTGATCAATATGATTTTACCAATTATGGATTCATTGAGATCCCTGCGTGTATCAGTTATGGATAACAAATATTGAATCAAACTATCTGCCTTGGATCAGTTCTGTCACACTATGAGTTGAGCTAGAATCTTCCCTCAGACAAGAGTCCCACGGTTTGAATCTGTAGTTTGGAACCCTTCAGAAAAATAGATATATCTATATATATTATAAATCTTGTTGCCTATAAAATGCTGTGCCGGGGGATATGCAATTAGTAGAGAGAAGAGTGGTAATGAATGACTATCAACTTTACCTTCAACTCTAAAAGAGTGATTCATCAGAAGCTCTGCTATAATGATATTTTATGGGAGGAGGACTGAGTTTTGCCTTTTACTGTGTCATCTAATTATATCTCAGAATAAAAAAAAAGTTGTAGGCATTTTTTTCTGAAAAAAAAATCAAAATTTTAACAGAACCAAGTTCCAAAATTACTACATTTTTATCTCTGAAACTGGAAACCCTGATCTATTCAGACAGGCATCTGTGTCTGAAAATTCTGTCCAATTTTGTTAAAAAGGTAAAAATGTGAAACCATTGTAGATTTTCCCCCTATTAATTCATGGGTTTTGCAGATCTTGTTTTGATAGACCTGCCAAATCTGGTCTGTAAAAATATACAGTAGTTGATTGCTAGATGGACGCAAAGAATTAGAGAATTCTGTATTTTGTTGTTGACAACCAGCAGTTATAGGATTTGAAGTCCCAATCTTCTAAAATCAAGCCTGAAGCAAATTTTATAATGGTTCACGTTCTTATTACTTCCAGCTTCAGAGCATATTTTAGGACACACATTGAACTCTATAAAGAAGCTATGCTAGTATACACGTTTGTGTTATGAAAAGTACAATGTTAGTGTATTTTCACTGGAAATCTCAAATATTGGTCAAAGACTTAAGAGAAAAAATAAAAAAGTAGATAACCACAAGCCCTTTACTGCAGGATATTGATACAATTTAAAACTAAACAAAGAAACAAAAAATAAAGCAAAAAGAGATACAGATACCCTTCCATAAGCACTGTTGGTGGGAAGATTTGGAGATTTTTTTATTGACAGAGACTTTGTGAAGGTAGAATGTCTTGCTCATATCTTCATATGGTGTTCTTTTTATATTGTCCCGAAATGTGCTCTGATCTCCCCAATGGTATAGGGTTTCCTGCCTGAACAAGGGGTTGGGCTAGATGACCTCCAAAGTCCCTTCCAACTTTACTATTATTATTATCTCTAAATCTGGGGGTCAAACTGTTAAAATTGTATGTTCATTACTTATTAAGAGGTGTTAACTCTGCACTCACATACAAGGTGGCCAGAAACTTTCACCGTCAAACAATTGTGCAAATATTTAATTGTTTGTAGCTCTGGGTTTAACTTGTTACTTAGTTTGATTATGAAATATCTGCAAGAAAACAACCAGAGAGTACCAAGGATCCCGCTTTTAATTAGAGATGCTTTTTTTAATAGTCTTGTTGTTTTTTCCCCCTAATAACAAATTGTTACTTTAAATTACTCTTTTCTTATACTGTATGGGCTGGTCAAAGATAGTAATAAAGATTTATTACTATTCAATAAGAATTTTTAAAAGGCTTATTATGTAACTTTTTTCTAACATTCATTATTCAAGCAGATTTTAACACAGTTTTACATTTTTTAATTATTAAAATAAAACCAATATAAATAATTAAAATGATATGATCTATCTAAAACATTTCTCAGTATACAGATCCAGCCTTGTGTTTTGGCCTATTTCTTTTATCTCTCCTAGTCATGATGGACAACAGTCAGCAATTATGTAGTTGTAATTCAGAACATCTGGAAGAATCCAGATCAGGGGAAGATTGATATAAATGACTTTTAATTACAACAATTTTAATGAAAGAGAGATGTATTAAAATTAATGAGTCATAAAAATATGCTAATGAGGCTTATTTCTTGTGCCCTTTTTCCTGAGATATAATAAAATACATTTGGCAATTATAACAGAAAATGCATACTTCACTTGAATGCACTTTCAGTTGGGCCCCTAATAAAAATAGTTCTGGCACATCTGGAATCTCTGTCTACGGTAACTTCTTTTATTAAAGAAAAAAAAACTATTGCCAAGTTGGCAGTGCAGCAAACACTCTTCAGCAGCTTTACACTCCAGTAAGAATTTGTTGCATGACTTTCTTTTTTTTCAAAGAGCTCTTGGGAGGATTAGAAAAATTCACAACCTCCAATGGCATTGCACTAACTACAAGAACATTAGTCAACCAGAAATGTATGTGTGAGGGAGTGAGGAAGGCAATGAGGGAGGGGTAAACTTAAATTTAAATGTGCTATTTAAATATGGTATATATTTTAATTTGATAAGCCAAAAGTCATATAAGGATTGTGTATTGATGATTCCCCCCTCCCCCCCCAAAAAAGAAGCTTATAAGGGAAGATAACAAAAAAATTACTTAGAATACATTTGGGAGAGGTACAGAACAGAAAGTGAGTTGAGGTGACGCAGATGAAATACTGCTATAGAATGCAATAGACAGATGCAAAATAACATAGCAAAGGGGCAGATTTTATCACCACAAATTCTTTGCATGCATTTGGTAACATTGAGCACTGAATGCACTTGAGGAAGGTGCAAACTATCACCAAACATCCAGGCATTCATTAGCTGAGGATGCATTTCACACTTACAGAATGTTCTACAATTGGCTGGATTTATACAACATGCTTTGTGGCAATTTCTTGTCTGTGGAGTGTAATGGCTGGATTCTCACAACGGCACTGAAATATTGACCTATGACCTTTTTTTTATCTTTATGTCCTTTCTGGCATGCCATGATCATATGATCAAAATTCAGATGCTTAGCAACTGGTTCATATTTATGACCTTTGCTGTGTCCCAAGGTCATGCTAACAACTTTTGTGACCTGACAAGCAAAGTCAGTGGGGAAGCCAGATTCATTTAACAACCAGGTTACTAACTTATCAGCTGTGGTGATTCACTTAACAACTATGGCTAAAAAGGTTGTAAAATGGGGCAAAACTCACTTAACAAATGTCTCACTTAACAACAGAAATTTAAGGCTCAATTTGTAGTCGTAAGTTGAGGACTATTTGTATTTATCTCTGGGGCGAGAAAGGTTGTAAAATGGGGGCAAAACTCACTTAACCACTGTCTTGCTTAGCAACAGAAATTTTG